AGTCTCAGGTTTTTCATCTATATAATGTGATATTCTATCATTCTCAGCTGGGTAATAACAAAGAATAGCGATGTAAGATAGAAGAGGTTAAGTTAAATACCTTTTATTTCTGAATTAGGATAGGAAGTGATGAAATAAATCATATTTCTATTTCTCCAAAAAAAATTTCCAGGCTCTGTCCACTGCAAAGGCCTAGAAACAATCACCAACCTAACAGTGGTGAGCACCCTAGGCCCTAGATCGTGGCCTCCAAATACTTTTTCCTACTAAAAGAAAAGCCCTTGGAGAAATGGCTGATGCCAGGTCTGGAGCAAAATTTATAGACATGAACTTGGAATATTTGGACATAGCAGATAGCAAGTAAGCTATCAGATACTTAGGATTATATCAAATGGATCCAAAAGTCAACCTGAAGGACCTCCCGTAGGCCAAAGATAGAGTAATTTGAATATCCATTAAGGATAATAATGTCAATAAATTGATACAGCAAATATGTTAAAATGATACTAAAAAATTCTAGGCATTGTTCATATTGGCACTTAAGAAGAAAAAAGAAAAAAATTAATTGGTTATCATGGGAGTATGCCAGGAAGCCAACTAATTATTTTGAACACTGGTAAATAAAGAGAAAGACTCAAGCATTTATTCTTCTTTTTCTCTATGAACTATACCACTGAGGAATCTAATAGTAGACAAGGGGAAGTTTCTCTTTAATGAATTATTCTAGCTAGTAATTATAGAAGGGATGGTAGAAGTAGAATATCATTTTGCAATTCCTAATGAACAATTGGCTCTAGGCATTGAGCATCACAAAATACAGACAATGAAACATTATGTCCTTCCTAAGAATAAATGTACCATAATAACAAAGTAGTTCTGCCAAAAAAAAAATTGAACCATAATCAGATCAAGCCTCTAGATCCAATAACTAATTTCCAGGGAATACAGAGGACTCAGGAACAGGTTAATTACACCTGGAGAAAGAATTAACATCCTATTAAGAAAATCACTCTAGACCAAGACATCAATTAGGGTAGGGTTAAGCCACAATTACAAAACAAACAAACAAAAAAAAAAAACCCTGTAAGAAAACAAAAGAAAGAGGATGAATCTATAGATTAAAAAAGTCTTAAAAGATATGTCAACCAATCACAATATAGAGCCCTCATTTGGCTTCTGATTCAAACACATGTAAATAAACAAAAACATTTGACATATATGAAACAACTGGTAATTTGAACACTGACAGGCTATTTTATGATATATGATATTAAATGATTCTTGTTAGATTTTTGAGAAGTATTTTAACGGTATTTTTACAAAGTCAATTTCTTTTAGAAATGCCTACTGATATAATGATATACCAATAATATCTGGGATTTGTTTTAATATGGGAAGGAGAGAAGTGAAGGTATAGATGAAATAAAATTAGCATGACCTAGTAATTCTTGAAGTGGTGTTACATGGAGGGTCATTATATTATACTACTTTTGAATGTGTTTGAAGTTCTCCCTAATAAGACATTAAAAAATATATGAGGTTTAATGAGCAATAGCGAGACCCTGTCTCTACAAAAACCAGAAAAATTATCCTGGCATGGTGGTGCATGCCTGTAGTCCCAGCTACTCAGGAGGCTGAGGCAAGAGGATTGCTTGAGCCCAGGAGTTTGAGATTGCAGTGAGCTATGATGATGCCACTGTATTCCAGCCAGGATGACAGAGCAAGACTCAGTCAAAAAAAATTTTTTTTAAAAAATTAGGTCATTAAATATGAAATGTTTGATTTTGAATCAAAAGTGTAGTTTATTATATCTCAAACAAGAAGCAGTACAATTAATCAAGGTATGCGCCTAAACTATCGACATAGTTTTGCCCTCTTAACAGTAGCTTGTTTATGCCAGCAGCAAAGAAGCCTGGAGAGCAAGTGGCAATGAAATTGCAGTGTTTTCTGCAGCTTGTTGAGAACTGAATATTTCTCCTTGCAAGAAGTAGTCCAAAGCCTGGAAGAAGAGGTAGTCAGTTGGTGCAAGGTCTGGTGAATATGTTGGATGACAGAGAGTTTCCAAGTCCAGCTGCTGTAGTTTCAGCAGCATTGTTTGTGCAACATGTGGTTGAGTGTTGTCTTGCAAGAGGATTGGCCTGTCTCTACTGAACTATCTTGCTGCTTAATTGCAAGTGTCCTCATGATTTCACCCAGTTGGTTGTAGCAGACATTCGTTGTAATCGATTGACCAGGTTTCATGAAGCTGTGGTGGATAACAGCGCTGGACCACCAAAGAGACACCATTAGCTTTTTTTGATGAATATTTGGTTTTGGACTGAATATTCATCTTTATCCATCCATTATGCTGAATGCTTTCAATAATCGAAAAGAATCCATTTTTCATCACATGTAACAAAATGGTGTAGAAATGGTTCGCCTTTATGTCATGACAGCAAAGAAAGATAAGCTTCGAGATGATGTCTCTTCTGATGCTTGTTTAATTCATGCGGAACCCATCTATCCAGCTTCTTTACCTTGCCTATTTGTTTCAAATGGTCCAAAATTGTTGGAATAATAATGTCAAACCTTGCTGCTAATTCACATGTAAGTTGAGATAGATTTGCTTCTACTACAGCTTTCAGCTCATCTTTATCCCCCTTGGTGTCAGGTCACATGACTCATTTTCAGGATTAAAATCACCAGAATGGAACTTCTCAAACCATCGACATACTGTGCATTCTTTAGCCACATCTTTCCAAACACTTTGTTGATATTTTGAGCATCTGTGCTGCATTGGTTACACAACAGAATTCATATTAGAAAGTAACACGAATTTTTTACTTATCCATGCTTTCACAAAAATTGCTCTAAAAAAATCTGAAAGATAATCACAAACATGTGTTTGAAAGAGGATGTACCACCACAATAAAAATAAAATATGAAGTGTCAAAGTAAAATGTCAGAGTTATCAACCCTCACATTTTGTACTTAAGGAAATCAGACATTTCATACTTAATAACCTAATAAGGCTTAAACAAACCTTAGTGTTAAAGTCATTGACTTCTCTCATATCCATACTCTGTCAGCAAATACAAGATATATTTAAAATTGGTTTCAACATGGTGACTATGGTTAATAATAATGTATTGTATACTTGAAAATTGCTGAGTAGTTTGTAAAGTGGTCTCACCACAAATAAACATGTGAGGTAATGTATATGTTTATTATCTTGATTTAGCCAATCCACAAAGCATATATATTTCAAAATATCATGTTATACACTATAAATATGTATAATTTTTGTCAATTAAAATAAATAATCAGGAAAAAAAATGCGGCCACTTCTTATAACCTCTGCCACTACCACTCTGGTCAAAGCCAACATCATCTCTCAGCTTCCTAATTAATCTCCCTTCTTTTGCCCTCATCCTTTTGACAGTCCATCTTCAACACAGCAGCTTAGAATGAGCCTTTCAAAATATAAGCTAGATCATATTCTCTATGCTCAAACCCCTCAATAACCTTCCCCCTCTTGTCCAGTGTAAAAGCAGAATCCTTCAATAACATGCAAGCCTTCTGTGATCTTGGAACTCATCCTTACTCCACTAGAGCCACAGTGGCCTCTTTCCCGACTGTTCCCTGTGGATACCAAGGATGCTCTCATCTCAGGGCCTTGCTCTTGGCATTCTCTCTCCCTAAAACGTTTTTCTTCACATCACCTTTAAGTCTTTGCTTAAATATTACTTTCTTAAGTGAGATCAGCCTATTTATATTTGCAAACCCCTAGACTCCCTATCTGCCTCACCTGCCTTATTTTTTTCTGTAGCATTTAGCCCTATCTGACATAATACTGTATATACTTTATAATACTTGTTTATTGCTTGTTACAACAAAATGTAAACTCCTTGAAGTCAGGAGCTTGTTTTGTTCACTGCTGTATTTCAAACATACAGAACAGTACCTTATGATTAGTAAGCACTCAATAAATAAATATCTGTTAACTAAATACATACATATCTGATGACTAAATGATTCTTTCGATTTTCAGACTGGTGCTTTTTTTTTTGTTTTTGAGATGGGTTTCACTCTGTCACCCAGGCTGGATTGCAGTGGCACGATTACAGCTCACTGCACTGCAGCCTCAAACTCCTGAGCTTGAACAATCCTCCTGTCTCAGTCTCCATCCAGACCAGTGCTTTTATCCTGCATTTCTCAACTAAGCTTGTGGAGTGAAAAGCAGAATAACAACACACTAGGTGATGCCCATGTAAGTTATATAAGTAAAAGCTAAGTGACTTGACTATTTCCTTATTTGGGAGGAAATATCCACATTTGCTAAAAAATATGAATGCCATCAAGGTAGGGTAAGTGTTAAGTCACCTCTGTTGCAAGCAGAGTCTATAGAGATGGCTTTATTGTAACCTACAGTTGAAGGGCAATGCCACCAGAGAGAATTCCACAAAGGTGGCCCATGGTAGCCTATGGCCATTGCTTTTGAAAGTGGTTAGGTTCACAAAGTCATGTAAGGGTCCAATGAACTCTCGGACCAATGAACCCTCTACAATGTGGCAGACACTGTGGAGTGCCTGCCTAACATCTATGCCCATCTTCTTCTCTAGGCTAACAGAACTCTGATTTTTGTTGATCTTCTTTTAAGTAGTTATGCCTTTCAGAGGAGGGTGGGTCCTTGCCAAATCCAGAGAGTGACTTTGAATGATGTAAGCAATCACAGAGGTTTCATTTTCCTTGCCAAAGGATGGTATTAGTCCTGGGAATTGAAGGGATGGAAGAAGAGCCTGCCACAGGGCTTCTGAGAAAGTTTTCCTTGCTGTACAAAAGGTGAACAAGATACAGATACTACATTTTTCTGATTCTAGATATTGTGGTCTGTATGCCACCTTGAAATCAACTCTAAGGAAAGCTAGCCTATGAATATAGGCAGCAGAGAAGAAAGATGAAAAAACCCAGGTCCTTGCTGACATCACTGAGCCACTGAGTTAACCAACCCTGGGCATTACCTCTTGTTATAGAAGACTGCTTGATGTGTAAAATAATAGATGTTCTTGTCATCTAAGGCACTCTTATATTACTTGTAGAAAAAGCATACTAATGCTTCAAATGTCCACGATGGACCCAAATGACCACAGAGCCACCTGTGGAAATACGAAACATTCTAGAAAACAAAATTAGTTAAAGCATGGACTACATTCCTGAACTTTAGTTGATTGTGCTACTAGCTCTTAATTATTATTCCATTTAGTCTATTATTTCTGGCTCTTTTTTGTGGCCTGGATGGTGCTTCATGTCAGTTTCCAGTCTTCTCTTTGAAGCTCTATCTTCTATGTGAAATGCTCCTTGCAGCCATTCTAACGACTTATTACTCTGGAGGTTTTAGTTTAAAGTCCTCTGAGTGGACAACAATGAATGGGATTGATATTTATCTTTCTGGGTCCTTGTGACTCTCCAATTCTCCCAATTCTTCTGTTCTCCATTTGTACAGAATGTTCTTTTTCCTCCAGTTTTGGGGCTTACCTTGATTCTAATCAACACAAGATGTAAGTCATATCAAATCAGCCTGAATGCCTCAATGTGGTGATCCAGATAGTGTAACTCAATTTTCTGTCTTGTGCCTGCAATCTAGTTGCAACCCTGTGCTCTAAGGTCTAGAAAATCGATGCCTATCCATCTATCCATCCAACAATCCATCTATCCTCTCAACAGTATAATGGTCTTAGATTTTGGGGCTCCAATTATGTTCTTTATACACTAACTTAAATACTTGCCTAGCATCCTAATGTCCTCAAGCCTTGCCCTTTGTGAGCTCTCCTACAGAACAGTGTCCTGTTATGCCTCAGCCCCTCTTTCAACTTCGTGGCTGAGGTCTAGGTACTTGTTAACAGATTACCTACTTTCCTCCTTTTCACATTTCATCATGTTGTGGTCTCCAGGTTTCCTTCAGCGCCATTTGCTGGGATACCCATCCATTATTTCCAATTCCATTTTCCTTCATTTTTTGCCCATCTCCGTGATGTCCTCAGTCCCAGGCACTCCAAGTCTAGCGTGTCCATTGTCAAGTGAATTATAAGGTCCACTTCTGACAGACAGAATTAAAGTAGATCATATTCAAATTCTTTCTGAGCACAACACTTAGTTTATGGAATTTTATTGTGAGAAGTTAATGGCCTAGACTAATTGGTAATAGAGGGAATGAGAAGGAAAGAATAAATGAGAGAGGATTGCAAAACAAGATCTACAGAACTTGATGTGTCTGGGGATTGAGGAAGTCAGAAGGAGTCAAAAATGTAGGTAATATTTTGAGCCCAAATTACTGAAGAATAATTTTCTTCAAAAAAATGGGGAAATTAATAAAGGAAGCTATGTTTAGGTTACAAATGTAAATTATAGAGGGAGATAATTAACTGAACTAAATTTAGGAAAGAGATCACATTTATAAATTCAGCCTTGCAAGTCAGCTTTATGGAAGTAAGGAAGAATAACAGTTCTTGGGCAAAAGTATTAAGTGCAGGAAGGGAATCTATTTGACTAATAACTATGTGTGTTTTATAATCTGCACATAAATGATGAGACTAAAAGGGTAGTCTGCTATGCTTTTTGGGAAGACAGCCAATTAGACTTCTCAGATTTCTTATTTTTTATTTATTTATTTATTTTGACACAGAGTCTTGCTTTGTTGCCCAGGCTAGAGTGAGTGCCGTGGCATCAGCCTAGCTCACAGCAACCTCAAAATCCTGGACTCAAGCGATCCTGCTGCCTCAGCCTCCTGAGTAGCTGGGACTACAGGCATGCGCCACCATGCCTGGTTAATTTTTTCTATATGTATTAGTTGGCCAATTAATTTCTTTCTATTTATAGTAGAGACGGGGTCTCGCTCTTGTCAGGCTGGTTTTGAACTCCTGACCTCGAGCAATCTGCCCGCCTCGGCCTCCCAGAGTGCTAGGATTACAGGCGTGAGCCACTGCGCCCGGCCTCAGATTTCTTATTATATATATATCACTCCATATTCAGGTTACAGATTCTGTCCTATTGAGTCCTGAGTGCTACCTCATAAGGTAATACAAGACGTACAAATGGTGCAATGCACAACCTGTGTAGTTATCCAGCGGTGCTGTCTCAGTGGTTGGCTGTGCTAAATGGTGAGATATTTGAAAACAACAAAGAATATGTTTCTCACCTCAGAATCCTCAGCATGTAGTGAGAGCAGAATGAAATATGCCCTCAGAAAATACCTGCTGGATGAGTTCCCAAAGGGGAATTGTTTCAAGACTTGTTGACTGTCTTCATTTAGAATTAGCTAAGGCTTCACAAGATACATTAGAGAAAAGTCTGATGCTACTCTGTTCATACCTTGAGAGCAAGCATTGGCACTTCCAAAGACCATCTTGGATAGGAATCATGAAGTAGGTTCCTTCCACGATACTGAGGACACATAATTTGGGGAGACGGTTCAGAGCATCATTTTCATTATGGTCAAGTGTGAAGACATTCTTCTAGAACATCCATTCCAACAATAGCAGAATGATAAGAGTCAATTTATTAGAAAGTCATTTGACAAATGAACCTTTTAGCTACACTTTCTGAGAATGCTCCAAAACCATGGAACAAAGAAATTAATTGCAACTACTCAAGTAGAAACACCTGGTAATTTCATGCCTACTAGTATAACTCAGCTATAACATTTTAATAGGAGGCATCCTCAGTGATGAAGATATTTTAAATTACTGGAAGAAGAGTGCTATGAATACCAGAGGAAACTGACTTCTAGTTAAGCTTGTACTTTTTATATATTTGTGTGAATTTGTTCTAGCAGATAGGAGGTAACTGATTACAGAATTCCTGCCTATACTGATGTTCCAGGAATAGCTTTGTGTGCTACTAGACCAAAGATTAAAAATCTATAGATAGAATTCTTTCTGAAAAAAAGTTGAAAACCTATTAACATAAAAGGATATGGTTGAATCACTCTGGGCCATTGACTATCTGTGTGTCATTTACTCACTGCTATCTCTGCAGAATATGCTGCTTATTTCTAAGCCTTTAGAACCTGTTTTTCAAGATCTAGTTCAAATTCTATCTCCTTCATGAAGCCTTCCTTAAGATTTCTTCCTATTGAATATTCTCTTCCTCTATCTTTCCATACCATTTTGTTTATATTCTTCTCTGGCACTTACTTATTCTGCTTTATACCTGAATTATTTGTGGATACAGCTAATCTATACCATTAGGGTTTACTTTGTTTGCTTTTGTATTCCCCACAGTATTTAGTCCAGGGCATGCACTAGATGATAATTATAATAGTATTAATTGAGCACTATTTTGGTGCAAGGCAGTGGGCCAAGTAAGCAGTTTAGAGGCATCAATTAATTTCATTCTTGTTGGAACCTGGTAATATAGCCATCATTATTATTCTCATTTTTCAGATGAGGAAACTAAGGATTAAAGAGATAATATACTATAGAGTTAATAAATGAATAGGCAGGAACTTGAATCAATGTAGTTCTAATTCAAAGGACTATTCTCTACTCCTATTCAATATATCTCAGAATTGAAATATAATATAAACTCTGCTATCACTGGAAGTTATAAGTGAAAATATAAATATTTTTCCAGAGTACTAACTCTTTTTGCACGACCAATCACAAGTTAATATTTTAAGAACAGAATAAAAAAATTATGGTATAGAAACAAAAGGATTCCCTTGGATCCACTAAAAATTATCCTATGATGTCTTCAAATATAATAATATAATTTATGATACATGTGATTGTGCTACTTAAGAAAATGAATCATTCTTTTTTTAAAATATATTTCAGCATATTATGGGGGTACAAATATTAAGGTTATGTATATTGCCCATGCCCCCCTCCCCACTACGAATCATTCTTTATAAATAGAAAACTTCCCAAATAAAAAAAATACAAATGGTAGAATAAAAACTAGAATGAAGAATTGGATATGTTATACCTTTACTTAGTGACAAATGTTCAGTGGCATATACTGTGCTGAAAAAGACTAAGAAGCGTGGAAATAAATGTTAAAAGGGGAGGTGGGAACAAGTAAGCTTCTTTTGAATTAGAACATTGAAAAGGAGGCTGTGAAAGTGTCAGAAATTATAGCATTTTGATCATAGACGATAATAAAAAATTATTGGGGAAATGAAGAAAAACAGGATTTAGTTCCCTCTTTGAAGCCAAAGATCTGAAACTTAGTTAAATTTCAAAGAAAACTGAAAATGTAAGAAACTGCAGGAATTGTCACCATTAAAGGGTGGCAGAAAATGTAGCTCAAAATAAAATTTAAGATTTAAAAAAGTTTATGTGTTTAGACTTTTTTCCAACAATAATAATGCATGCTTTTTGTGAAAATGTTTTACTATAACTTAAAAACACGAATTTTGTCATAATTCCACTATCAGAGATTTCTATGGCTAATAATATACTCTTTAAATTTTTGTGATATATATGACAAAAATATCTGTAACTATGCTTATTTTTAAAATTATTTACAAAAATAGGATTCTACCATACATACTCTTCTACAACTTCAATCTTATCCAAGTATTAATAACTTACAAATATAGCATTTGACTATATACCCTGTCTCTCAGCCAGGTGGTGGAGGAAGAGCTATAAAAAAATTCAGCACAATTTTTATTAAGTTGTCATTTTTGTAAGGGGATGTGTGAAGCAATTCTGAAACAATTCTGAAACTATTTCAGCTAAATCACAGGACTGAGCAAATGTGAGCAAATGAACAAATGTGTTGATGATGTTGGGAGACAGGATTTTCATTGTGGAAAAGGGTTTTACCAATATGGGATAGAGGAAGGCAAGAAAAGAACCTGTGGGGATGGATTGAAATTGGGGAAATCAATGTGAACTTATGATTTCTAAAATATATGCATGCATGTGTAAGATAAACACATATAAAAGCAGGGTGAAGAGTAAAATACCCCTCCCCAAGGTATAATTTAACATGCTCCAATATTCTGTGTATTTCCTGTAAACTGGTAGAGCTAGAGGCTTGATCAGATTATGGTTTGCCTTTTTTGGGGCAAGAATATGTTACATAGGTGGTGCTATGTATTTCATATTGAATATCAGGAGCACATAATGTCTACTCCCTCTGCTTTTTGTGATGTTAAAAATCACCAATGGGTTCAGATGTCATTTTGATCTACCCATTATGAAGTTCCCCATTAGTCTTTCTTTCTAATGGTTTTAGTGTTTATTGATGATCATTGTCCAGATTCAGTATTTCACTGGGGGTTGCAAAATAGTGAAATTCTACTTCTAATATTTCTCCTACATTTATTTGCTGGAATTTATCCAAAAAGAACTTTATTTTCTTAATTATTGGTTATCCTGAAATACAGTTTGTACAAAAAAGGCAGGATAAATGCTTGATATTTTCCTTTTAGTTACCTGTTTTTAGAATAATGAGTTGGTCCTAGAAACCTCCTAAAGTTACTCCGAGAGTTTTAGTTCCTTTTGGTGATATTGAGAGACACATTCTAGGTGATAAAGGTGATCATTGGTAGTGGGTTAGTCACTGCTTCTATACTTTTTCAATGCACAGAGCTAAGAAATTCAGAAATATGAATTTTTAGCAGAAAAATACATTACCAGTTTATATTCATATGTCTTTATATATCTTATACTAAAAATCTTGGTTACTAATAAAATTAACATAAATACCCACCTGCTTTATGATATATTAACCTAATGATCCATTTCTGTTGCTGTGTCAAAATAACAATAACAGCACTATTACTAATAGTATGTTTACTAAATATGGTTTAGGATTTCTTTGTAGCTCTCTAGGATGTATAGGACCTTAGGACGTATACTAGTAGGGCTGCAGAGTCAAATTACTACATTTTAAAGTCACTTGAATAATCCTCTGTGTACTTAAGCAATCAACTTGATACACAGTTAGATTTCTTTGTTTCATTTAATTATCAGTCTATAAGAGTTGCTAGTTGT